ACACACACACACTCTCTCACAGGAGACCACAGTCACATTCACTTCACAAGATCATTTTGACTCTTTTAACTAATAATCTGACTATTATTGATTTGACGGCTCAATTGGAGTCTTCATACACTAGCAGTCAAATGTTTGGAATAATTAAGATATTTAAGACTCTAATACAGTTTGTTTCAGCTGCTTACACACAAATCTTCACTAGTCACACAGTTTCTGAAAGCTGACACTCAAACAGCAGAAGCACACACCAAATCTGCAAAACCATACGCTAATTCTCAGTTTTCAATTTCATAAAACACTTTTTGCAAAACACAACACACAATTGTAAGAACAAAAATCTAACAGGAATTAATATTATGTCAAAGGTGTTTGCAAATGTTTGCTTCTGAGATGTGTTTGTGATATTTTGAATGCAGAGCTTCATTTTGCAAGGTATATTGCATTTTATGTGTGCAATTCTTGGATTTGTGTGTAAAGTTTGGAAAAAAACTAGGCGAAAATGTGTGTAAGCAGTTAAAAAAACCTGTAATTATTATACTGATTTCTGAAGATCATGTGACACTGAAGACTGGAGTAATGATGCTGAAAATACAGCTGCGCATCACAGAAATATATTACAGTTTAACAGATATTCACATAGAAAACAGCTGTTTTACATTCTAATAATATTTCACAATTTTTACTGTATTTTTCATTAAAATTCTTAACTATTGCAAACTTTCAAACAGTAGTGTATAAACACCTCAATCAATCCAACAGAGTTCGATCCGGTTTTGTTTGTATCAAAACAAATCAAAATAAGAGAACTTTAGCCTAAAAATAGAAAAATATCTATCAATGAGATCAGAAAAAAAATCTTGTTTTCCCTTTGAACTGAGTTTATTTTTCTTTAGATATTTGTCCTGGAAAACAAGACAAAAATACTGTAAATCTCAGACCACACTTCTAGTGCAGGGTTTTATTGTTAACTAACACTAAAACTAGTATTATTATAATTGTTTTTGGTTACACTTTATTTTAATCTGTCCTTGTTACAGAGTAATATTAATTAATTACATGTAAATGGTTAAGGTTTGACTTACTTGCATGTAATTATACATAATTAATTGTTATTATTATAGTAAATACATGTAACGTGTGTAACAAGGACACCTTAAAATAAAGTGTTACAGTTTTTTACTCAAATAAAATACAATAAAATATATATATTACACGAAAACCCAAACTAAATGAAAATGACAACTTTTGCCTTCGCAACTACGTGAAATAAGTTAAACTGAAGCACTAAAATAACTGAACTAAACCTCAGAACTCACCTGTACATGGCTTCAAACAGGTCTTTGGAGTTCACGCCGAAAGCCTTCTCATACTGGTTCTTCCCTTCTCTGAGGAGGAGGAGTTACGAGAGAGAAGAAGGCTGACAAACATCAGTCAAGATAGAGATGTTTGTGTATGCAGAGAGTTTCTCACCGGACGGCGTCGCTCAGGTAATGCCAGCAGAGGTAGATGGTCCTGGAGCTGTACTCGATCGACTGACACAGAGACCTCAGGCTGGACTTGATCAGAAACATGCTGGACATTTCTGTGTTACTGTAGAGAACTACATGAGGAATTAACCACAACACACTTACATTCAGCTGTAAAGCATTAAAGCCTTTCAGTACAGAGGAGAAACTTCACTGTAAATGTGACTGATTAATACTTGTTCATTCAAAATAATCGTTCATCAGTTTTACAGTAAGTTACTGGATAATTCTGTGTCTCTCATTTGATTTAGAAACCATTTTTGCTCAGAAATTGCTAGTAAACGTCACAAGTAATTACAAAGAACCTGCGAGTAACATTGAAATAAACATGAAATTTTGAAGTAGAAAACCTAAAACAGTATTTTTGTGTAAAGTGTCTCCAATAGTCCTTATTTACAACATTATTTCAAAAACTTAATTAAAACCTTGTTACTTGAAATGAAATTAAAGTAATTTAAATAAACTAATATATATATTTTTTTAAATCGACTTGGTTTAGTTGCAAAAGCAACATTTTTCATTTTCATGATAATGTACTAAAACAACTATAAAAATAGAAATAAAAAATAATAAAGATGGCAAAAAAAACTAAAAAATGAAAATGAATTTGAAAATAAATATTAAAACATTAAATATTAACTAAAAATATAATAGTCTATAAAAATAACACTGGCTTAAGGGTAAATACACAGAAAGTTTCTATTTTCTCATTTCTTCACATTTTTCGTTTTTTTTTTCATTTAACTAACACTGAATAACCTAAAACACTAGCACTGAAAATGAAATGAAAATGTATAAAAACTATATATATATATATATATACAAAAACATAAATATAAAATTATTAAAACTAAGTAAAATCATTTTTTAAAAGTTCAGAATAGTCATAAAAACTATAATAGCATGATAATTACACTAAAATAACACTGATAAGAGATTGAAACGTTTGAATATGTCTCTTTTTTATATCTTTCCCTTTGAAATATTTATTACTGAAATATTGTGTTTATATGTTGTCACGGTGCACTACTGCGAGGAAACGAAGGAGCGCGGAGACGAAAGAGATCCAGAACAGAAAAACTCTTTAATGAAACCAAAATAACAGGGAACACACGCATAGCTCACGGGGTAAACATTTGAGACTAAACGCAGGACTCAGGAAAACACAGAGCTTAAATACAGGAACTAAATGGGGAACACCTGGAACTAAACGAGGAGATTAACAAGACACAGCTGAATCTAATAGAACTCAATGGGACTAGGAACAGGAAAACCAAATGTGGGCACAAACACGGGAGAAACTGGGTCAAGGAGAGAACATGAGGAACAAAACACAAGACTGTCCATGGGCGTGACATTATCCCCCCCGCGCCATAACAATTCCACCGGGGAGGGGGGGGCGGGCGCCCTGGAGGCTGGTGCAGGACGGGGACAAGGAGGAGATAAGGAGAGCCTCCAGGGCGGATCAGGGAGCTCCAGGAGCCATGGCAGAGCAGGCAGCTCGGGAGGCCACGGCGGATCATGGACCTCGGGAGGCCACGGCAGAGCAGGGGACCCGGGAGACCATGGTGGATCCTCCGTGGCCTTGGCTGGCTCGGCCACGGGTATATGGCCCCCCCCCCAAAATTTTCTTGGGGAAATCTAGGAATCCTGGGGGGAGCTCTGGAGGAGCGGGCACTTGAGGGCACTAGGGAGGGGATTCAGGGACTGGAGCCCTCCTTGGGCTAAGCACGGGGACAGGAGCCCTCACTGGGCTATACTCGGGAACTGGAGCCCTCCATGGGCTATTTTCGGGAACTGGAGCCCTCCGTGGGCTAAACTCGGGAGCAGGAGCCCACTCTGGGCTGGATTCGGGGACTGGGAAGCGCTTACGAGGAGCTGGCACTGGAGGGTGCTCTGGAGGAGCAGGCACAGCAAGGCG